GGTGCTAGCACCTGATTCCTTTCACACACCAGCAGCCTGTGTTTTGTAGCCACCAAAGAACTCAGAGTAAGGAATGAATGTAGGCTTTGCAGGCTTAAGGCAACATGGCAGCCAGGGGACAAGTGCCGAGCTGGCAAAGTGAGGTGGCTATGAAACTGGCTACTAGAGTAGGTCATTTCTCAGCCATTCTGCAGTCACCACTGTACTGGTGAATGGTATGGCTGGTTCTCTCAGCAGAAAAATGCAGCCCAAGGACACGTATATTTATAAATGATTCCACAGGGTTATTTGTTAGAAACCTCGAGTCATGGGGGCAATCACATTTCTGTCAAAGTCCATGGCCCCTTAGAGCAGAGCAGTCACCTACAACAGCCTCAAGTGGCAGAGTCCAACCTGCCACACAGTCTCTATGATGCTGCCCTCACCATTTTGGCTCTGCACCTCCAGGTGAAAAGCCTGTGGCCAAAACTCAGGGCCTACACCACTGGGCCCCAAAGTTCCCGACTGGGTCTCAGCAGGGGCTATCTGTATGTAGCCTCTAGGAGGCACTGAACCTGGGATCTACCATCCGGAGCCCTGTCCCTTGCTCAGCTCCGCTTTCTTCGCTCTGTGCCTAAGTGCATTTTCATCCCATCAACCAGGTTTCCCATTCCTGGTTCCCCCACAGCCTTGCCAATATATCCTGCCAGGAGTTCTCCAGCCCGGAGCTCTCATTCCCTCACGGCAGTGCCGTACCAAGAGTTAAAAAGGAGGAACGCTGAATAAGGACATCTCAGAGGCAGGGTGTCCCCAAGCAGAGGCCACCGACCTGGAAGGGGAAGAGATGTGGCACAAGGCAGGTGTGTCCTAAAGTGCTGAAGCTTTTGGGGACCGCTGCTCTTGTCACTCAGAGCACAATCGGGGCTAGTTTCTGGCTGGCTGGGGTCTCCGCCTGCCACCTACAGCCCCGTGATGCAGCCCAACCAACCGGGTTCTCAGCCCGCCCTATGGGCGGGGGGATTTGCAGCCGGGGGCTCTCAATGCACGAGCAATGGCCATGCTTGCAGAGGCGCTGGGATACTGTGTATAGGCTGAGGGTTGTGCACTGTGTGCTCAGACTCCGAGATCCTGGCAACAGGGAGAAGCTTCTTTCTAGGCACTCTACAGGTTGAGGGCAGCAAGTCAGGACGACAGATCCTCTAGGTGTGACATCGGGAGTGAAAGGATCGGGAGTCGGGTCCTAAATCCCTCCTTTGCATTGCTGTATAACTGTTTTAGGGCACATACTTAAAATTGAGAGTTAGGGTAAGTATGATGAGAGCAGATCATCCCATCATGCTGTTTGTGGATGCAACCCCATGAAAAGCTCAGATAATGTTCAAGGTTTGCCTGTCTCAGAGCGATCTGCACACACAAAGATCTCAACTTGTTCCTTCATTGCACCTGATAATCAGGTAGGAGCTCAGCAGAAAATGGTTTGGATTCTTTTTTCGCTTTAAATTATTTTATTCAAGAAGGTTGAGAGGAGGGTTACCTGGGTGGCTCAGTTGGGTAAGTGTCTGCTGTCCTGGGATCAAACTGCACTTGGGGCTCCCTGCCTAGCGGGAAGCTTGCTTCTCCTTCTTTCTGCCTGCCACTCCCCCTGCTTGTGCTCTCTCTCTCTCTGTCAAATAAATAAATAAATCTTTTTAAAAAGAGGCTCTATTTGAAAAAAAAAAAAAACCAGAAGAAGAAGAAGGTTGAGAGGATAGTCAGGGGGATCGCACTGATCTCTGACCCAAACTCTCAGTTCTCCTCCCACATTAGGACAGGAAAAACATGGGGACTCTAGTCCCACCGGACAAAACTGAAAACAGACAGGACCCACGAATGCAGATGGCCATCCTTCAGTTTGTCCCCCACAGGAAATGAATGGCCAGGATACTTGGCATGCAGCCTCGGACTATCTCAAAGAGAGCTGGTAGGGAGTGCCACGGTTCTTCTGGGAGTGCTGAGGGTCCTACTTTGCCAGAGGCGCCCCTATGCTGAAGGCATCCACCACACTTATGGACACGGTCTTGTCTGGGATCTGGGGGAAGCACATATTGTGCCTGTTGTCCCTGCGCGATACCTTCCACTGTGGAAGTCATGACGGTAGGGGTCCCCCCGACAGCAGGTGGGAGCTGGAACTGCTCAGAGGCAATGAGGAAGTTGTGGCCATCGATCTCCTAAACTTCTTTGAGAAAGCACTTCTGTGGTTTGTTCGCTTCTCTCGTCAGGCAGCAGTGTCACAGGGCTTTGTGGAAGAAGAATCATGTGGGACCTGGTGCCGAGCTCCGCGTCCAGCCACGCACCTGTGTACTCAGGCACTGATGGCAGGGAGGACACATTGCTGCCAGTCCCCCAGTTGCGGTGGTCCGTGGTCACAGCTACGAGCTACGAGCTATGGGGCAGACTTGCCTTGCCTACTGGGGGACCTGACTCCGGAGGGGGATGGAGCTCAAAATGTGAGCCTCCTCACACCAAGTTATTCAATACGGTTACAAAACCAAGAGCAAAATAGGCAAGTGGCTATCTTAAAATCAGTATTTACCTTGGCAACTTATATATTAGGTCGTGTTCTATGTAGCCCTAAGTTTGGAGAGGTTTCAGGATAGCTGAACATAATCTAAGCAACCCGCAGGCGTGAAGGTCTACACTTCCTTGAATTTACTCGGTAAATCAGGGATGGACTCAGTGGAGAATGGTTTTGTAGTTCACACTAGGAGGAAGAACCTGCCGTCCGGCCAGTCCACCGTGAGGAGAGCGAGTTTTATTTATTTATTCAGTATTCAAGATTTTATTTCTTTATTCATGAGAGACACACACAGAGAGGCAGAGACATAGGCAGAGAGAGAAGCAGGGTCCATGCAGGGAGCCCAATGTGGGACTCGATCCCAGGACTCCGGGATCACACCCTGAGCCAAAAGCAGACACTCCGCGGTGGAGCCACCCAGATGTCCGGAGAGCGAGGTTTAGAGACTCCATTCACCAGTCCCGAACTCTCTCCCTCAGGGTCAGGCGGTACCAGGGGTTTAGATGGAAGACAGCGCTGTATGGGGATCTTGGAAACTAGGTGTCCCCGACACAGAGGCCACCAAACAGGAAGGGAAAGCCGGGGAACAAGGCACAGGTGTCCTATGAAATGCAAAGTCTCCTGTGAACCCAGGAGAGGGCTGCACCGTTGCCCGGATCGCGTACGATGTACCCAGGCGGTATTTCTGCTCCGCCTGGGAGAACCACCCAACTGGGTCCCTGCCTGCGCACAGCCCGGGTACAGAGTCCTCCCGCACTGGGCTGGCACACCTTGCGTGCCACCACAATTCTGGCGCGTTGCTTGCGCAGTTCTGGTGCGTCCCTGGCGCACATCTGGCAGGTACCCTGCGCCAAATGCTGTGCCACAACCTGCCTAGCCCTGCAGGTACCTGTGTAGAGAATGAGGACTGTGCGCTGCCCTCTGGCCAGAAGATCCTGGGAACCTTGAGAAGCTTCTTTCTTAGGGCTCTTTGCGCTAAGAGCAGCAAGTCGGGTCTCAGGACCTCAGAGGAGCTGGCAGTGGAAAGAACAGGTGGAGGGGTCCTAAAACCCTCCAGTTGGTGGGTCCTGGGGAGAGTGGAGGTGCAACACAGAAAGCATGCTTAAAATTGAGAGTGAGTGCGGGTGTGGTTTGAGCAGCTCACCACCTGCTTCGGCGTGTCAGAGGGTCGGAGGCAGCTTGGGCTTGATTCAGGGGGATCCCTCGTGGATGCCCGGGTGTCAGACCCGCTGTGCCCGCCTGTGCTCTGGGGAGCACGCGCACGTTTAGAGGCAGAGTTTGGGGGAAAGCTTTGGGTGTGAGCGTCTGTATCCACAGCAACTCTTCACTATCTTCACGCCAGCTCTGCTCTCTAGTGGAGGACTGAAGGGCGGTGGATGCAGGCACGGGGCTGGAATTTCACGCTCCTGGGATAACTTGGCAAACAGCCGCCGGAAGCCAGGGGCAGCTGGGCAAATGGCTCCAGCAGGCTGACGAGCGGGAGGTGATGGATGGCGAGCTAGGAAGAGGAAGGGTGGATGTCCATCTGCAGCCTTGGGAAGCATCGGTGCTTTGCACCCTCAGGCTCAGCCCCCACGGGGCTACCAGCATCTCTTCACCCACTTGACAGACTGCCAGGGGCCAATTGCAGACGCCACACATGGTGGGAATCTGGAAAATTGAGACCGCGATTTTACTGAATCCTCCATGTGGACCTGAGGGCTCTTCTAAATCCCTCCTTAGCTAGAGAACAGACACATTGCTACTAATGAGAACATTTTGTCAAGATGGCTATATGGTCCCATTTCAAAGATGAGTATAGTGAGGTGCTGGGAAGTTAATTGCCCTTGATCTTTTGCCTGAAATTAGCACAGCTACATTCAGTTCTGACAACGTTCTTGCAGTCACTTGCATCTCTTGCTTTCCATTAACTCTGCTCCTCTGTGAGTGATTCCAGCTGCCGGAATCGGACACTCTGCTTTTGCCCAGAATCATTGCTGCTGCTGCTACAGGTTGTTAACCCCCCAAGCTTCACGGAGGGGGGATCAGGTTCAGGCTTGGGGAGCCAGGATTCCCTGCCTCCGGAATCTTGCCCTAGAAGACTGCACTGCTGGGGATGGAGGGGGCGCACGTTCAAAACCCAGCAGAAATGAACTGGTGAAATTTACCATGACATCAAACTGCCCTCAACTTCCTGTTCATATTAAGGCTGTTTTTCCTTGGTTCCCCCAAACTCCCATCCCTCTCCCTCCCTCCACTCCTATCAATGACCTCAATGCAAATACAAGTGGGATGGTCCTGCTGAGTGTCTAGGTTATAGACGCAAATGGGTGACACAAACCATCAGGTACTGCGATCTGTCTCCTCATTGGTTGCTCAGAGCTCCTGGACCCCCCGCCCAGACCCAGATCGGCGGGAATAAGAGCAGCTGCTGGTGCTGGGAGGCAGCAGAGCCAGTGCTCAGCTCAAGGGTCCCTGTCACCTCCACGGTGCCATCGCCTGACATCAGACGCCAACACTGCCACAGCTGCCGCCGCCTGTGCTCCGAGCCACCGGCTGCCTGCAGACAGGTAATCCCAAGATTCCCGCTTAGTTGTGTGATTCTCTCTCCTTCTTCTCTCCCTCTTCTGCATTCATCTTTCTTGTAGCTGCTCTCCCTGCGTGTCTTGGAGTTTCTCTGCACTTCTGTCTGGGTCTCCTCATGAAATCTGTTACTCTGCGATTCATCGCAGGCTCCTGCCCCAGGTAACACTGGACAGTCTCAGTTCCAGGACTCCCTACTTCATTCTTTCCGTGCTGAGACAGGCTTCATCCTTGCTGTCTCTTGCTGCACTTGCGCTCAGGACACTGTAGTTCCGCGGATTCTGCGCACACAGTGGGATGCAAGGGTGCTCACGGATCCTGTCTTGTGCCTATTGTCCCTGGAAAATCAGTTTGGAACTTGGGCCAGCATATGTGGGTGGCAAATAGGCTCAAAGAGATCAGTGTAGGAAGCCTGGAACAGTAAGCCCCCTTAGTAAGTTCGCAAAAGTCCTCCATAGGTTGGACAGTTCTGAGTTGTGATATGAGAGCAACTTTGGTGACAGGATGCCAGAGACTGTCTTCGTTGGAGATATGGCAAGGAGGTGAATCTGAGAGTGTTCAGGGTGGTGGGGAGGTGGCTGTGGACTGAGTCTTCTTCACCCAGTTGTACTGCTAGGATAGCTTTGTTGTTATCCTTTGTCTTTGCTAAACAGGTTCACTGGATCTTTCAGGAGGAAACAATTGTGAGGGGAATGACATGACCAGCCTGAAGTCACCACTCTAGGGACTTATAGGCAGAAGTAGGATTAGAGTCCAAGTCCCTGGGCTTCAAATTGGTGCAAAAAGTGACATCATTATTTCTTTACAGAGAAGCGTCATGGGCTTCTGGAAGTTCTCTCCGTTCCTGGTTCTCAGCATCCTGGCGCTGTACCAGGTGGGCTTCCTCCAGGCAGCACCATTCAGGTAAGACAGCTCAGCCAGGAGTGGACTCACCTCCCACTGCTCCTGGGATCAGACAATTCCTTTCTCAGAATTGTGGTGTGCTGAATGTTTACCAACTAGCGAGGGGCAAAGGGGGAGTGTATATTTTTCTGATATAAAGATGTGTAGCACTTAACTGAAAAATAGAAATTATATACAATAATCTTTATTATAAATTTCATACAACTCATTGAGTCTCAAAGAATGCTTCCTGTTATTTTACCAGGAAGCCTGGCTTATTATTCTGGGGAGAGGCAGAGAGAGACTCAGTTTGTATTGGGTTTTCTTTCCCTCCCCAGGTCTGCTTTGGAAAATCCTCCAGACTCTGGTGTGCGCAATGAGGAGGAATTGCGCCTCCTCCTGGCTGCAGTGATGAAGGACTATATGCAGATGAAGACTCATGAGCTGGAGCAGGAGCAGGAGACTGAGGGCTCCAGGTGAGGCTCACCACCCTGTTCAGCTCAGGGCATCCCCTCCCTCCTGTCATGCCCAGGAAGGCATATCCCAAGAGAAAAGAGAGAACACAGCAGGACCTGGGGCCAGCACGCTGCCCCTGTTCACCTCAGCCTGGGGTCCAGCTTAGTCTCCACTGAAACTACAGGTCACACAGAGAGACTATGGTTAGAGCACATGTAAAAAGATCCCTTTCTGTAAGCAGTTGGGGAAGGTATGAAGTCCCCCACTCTGAAATTGGACTGGCAGCACTGAGGGTGCTTCCAGCATTGGAGGAGTTAGGACTGGTAAGTGTGAACCCCTCCCTGACAGGTCGTCTCTTCTTTCTCCATCTTGCTAATAATTAGGGTTGCTGTCCAGAAGAGATCCTGCAACTCTGCCACCTGTGTGGCCCATTGGCTGGGAGGCTTGCTGAGCAGAGCCGGAAGTGTGGCAAACACCAACTTGCTGCCCACCAGCATGGGCTTCAAGGTCTACAATCGGCGCCGCAGGGAACTTAAGGCTTAAGCAGTGACATGACCCCAGGAAGAAGGTGATTGCCTTTGTACTGTCCATGGGAGGATGGAAAGCCAAAAATTGCAGGGGTGCAGCCCACACTTTAACCCTCTGTGAATCCAAATAGTAGAAAAAATCCACAGGGGAACGTGCTCACTCCAGTGTCTGGAGACCCTACTTCTCTGCCATCTTGCCCCTGCCCCTTTACTCCAGTGTCTGGAGAGAAAACAGGCAGTCCCAGGACCTGAAACTCCTAGAATCTGGGTTCTTTCCCCTCCAAGTTTCCAGTATTTCCCTGTGACAGTGAGATCATCTGCCAGAAAAGACAGATCTGTAGATTTCAGTGACTGTCCCCTGCAGTTACAAGTGATCATTCTATCCTTTGAAAGGTAATGACATCCTCTGGGTGTAAACACTATACTGTCAGGTACCCCTGATTTCAGAGCATACTCTTGGGATCAAGAACTGAGTTTGCCTTCTATTAGCTGTATGCCCCCTGCCCAGATGCTGTATTCGAGTGAGTTCCCCCATCTGTGAATCAAGGGCAACAATAGTACCAATTGCTGGTATTGTTACGAACAGTCAACGAGATAACAGATGTCCATATTTTCACAATTAATAAGTTACTAAATTCTGGCTGTGATTTTTTTTTCCAGGTCACCATGAAGCGAACTCTACTTCTCTTAACTTATAATGAAAACAACTTATAGAATGCAGAGCATGGAAGACACATACATATGCATGCTTACTATTAAAACATTGTGTCTTGTTTGAAATAAAGTAAAACTAAATAAAGAGAATAAAATCATTGCAATTGCCTGGTGTGAAATCTTTTTGTATTTGATTGTTTGATAAATACAACAGCCCGTCTCATTGGCTTATCTGGTAGCAAAGATGGGCCCTGTCAGCCAACCTACAGATGTTGGCAATCCTGGTAAATCTTGGGGAGGGGGGATGTGGAAAGCTGCCTGGTGGGTGTCTGGGGGGCCCATGATCCATGCTGTGCCTGCACGAAACTGTTTGAAGAAATGTTGTCACTGGTGAACTTCATCAAGATAAGAAAGGGTTTCGATCCACTTAAAAGGAGTCCCTACTGCTATTTGTGGTGTTTTTCCCAGGAAAGCCTAAAGACCTGTGAAGGCTTTGTTGACCAGGGTGATCCATGAAGCAATGCAACATGCTTGGGGTGGGATGGGTCCTCAGTGTCCTGTCCTTTTGGCTTTTAGGATAACACCCTTAATGGAATTAGAAGTCTGTACATCTGAAAGGCAATTCCCCTTTACCTTCAGAGTTCCCTGGTCCCCAGCACCAGAGGTTATCTGTGTAATTCCCCTTGACTCAGGTTTGCCCTTATCCATCTCTCCCTTTCCTGCCCATAAGCACCCCTCCTCCACCCCATAGCCTGCAAAGCCCTTTACAAACAATGGCTCAGAGTCTGAGATGCAGTCACACAGACCAGCAGGCCTGGAAAGGTCATCAGGTGTCACCCAGTCCAACTTTTCTTATTCTCTGGGGTGCTGAGAAGAAAAGCATGGTGCTCAAAACGCTGCGATATGTGTAACAGAGACATTCCCACACCCAATGAGTACTCATCGAGTGGCTGCTATTTGGTGGACACTATTCAGGCACCAGGACTACAGCAATGAACAGAAGGGACCAAACCTCCTGCATTCTAACTGGGGGAAATTAGGGGGACATATACTGTGGTGTCGGAGATGTACTGGATGTACTGGAAGGAGTCTGGGATGTCCGAGTTTAATGCCTGATCTGATGTAGGAATTTCCCAGCATCCCTGGCATCTGCTGGGACTGTCAGTAAGATGCTGCTGACTGCCTCCCAGGGTGACTGTGTGGCCAGGTTCACTGGTGGATGGTCAGTTAGGTGAGGTAGTTTACTTGGAAAAGTCACCCCCTTCTACCCATCGATTCTAGTTATTTCCTCAGGAGCCCATAGAATTATGACCCTCGTCCCCATTCAGTCTATACTCCACACTGTCACCCACTGTTGCTGTAAATCACCCAAATGTCTCCTTTATGCAGAAAGTACTCCATTGACTGCCCATTCCATGGAGTAGACACCTAGGGCACTGCAGTGACTTCTGAGGTCCACACCGGTCTTCCCTCGCCTCCTCTCACCACCACTGCCATGACCTGCCTGGCCTCATCCTCTACTTCCCTCTCACATACTGGCCTTCTTACTATTCTTCATCCTCCACCCTTTGGCACCAACCCTCTCAAGTGTTTGCACCTGCCCACCACAAGTGTTGCAAAATGCTCCCCTCCTATTTAGGTCATAAAATATTTTGTGAATCCACAATTGAGTAGAGATGGCAGTAATAAATACTCATAGTGCTTTTAGAATAGTGGTATATTAAATTCACCAATTAAGAGCCAAGATTATCAGGTTGCATTTTTTTCTTTTTAGGTTGCACTTTTTTTTTAAAGATTTATTTATTTATTTGTTTGTTTGTTTGTTTATTTATTTATTTATTTATGATAGACATAGAGAGAGAGAGAGGCAGAGACACAGGCAGAGGGAGAAGCAGGCTCCATGCCGGGAGCCCGACGTGGGACTCGATCCTGGGACTCCAGGATCGCGCCCTGGGCCAAAGGCAGGCGCTAAACCGCTGAGCCACCCAGGGACCCCCTAGGTTGCATTTTTTTTTTAAAAGAATCTGACAATGTTCATTCCACAAGAGAAACATTTTGAACAAAAGGACTCAGAGTTGATTAAAATATATGGGTAGTAAAAGATACGTGACAAATAATAAACAAAAATAAGTAGAATAAGTTCGTAACATATGATCAAAATAGAATTCAAGGCAAAAAACCTTATTAGAAATGGAAATGTGTCATTTGATGGGAAAAGGTACTAAATGGCAGGATGATACGTTGGTAACAGACATACATGTACCAACCACATGGCCTCAAATTATGTGAAGCAAAAATGGATGGAACTGCTGGTGAAATATATGTATCAAGAATTTTTGTTATGAAACCAATGTACCCCACTTAGTAAGCCATTAGCTTTCGGAATTACCTCGAAATGCATGGTTCAATGTTGGCTCTGTAAATACTCCATGACAATACAATAGGTTTGAGAAAAATAGTTTTTATAACCACAAAGATGTGATAGAGTGTATCAATAATAAGATTATATCTACTTTTTAAAAACCATTTATTAAATAAACCAACATGTCTCACATTGATTTTTAACACTATCCTTATATGCTAATGTCTTTCTGGCCTGTCTTTTCTTTTTCTCCTCCATTGAGAATTGTCTAAGAACTTGTAATACGGTTTCCTTCATAGTAGGGCAAAGGAGTCTGGTGTCTTAAATTACTACACTGCTTCTTGATAGACACTATTTGGTCAGAAAATATATAGTAAGGTGTATTTCCAAATTTAGTGTGCTTTGAGTTATTAAGGATTGTGTACCACCATTGTTAAGTTTAATATTAGGGCTATGCTAATGTCATGTAATGAGTTAGCAAACTTGAATTTTTAATATGTTTCACGTCAATGTAGAAAGCATGGAAACTCTCTGAGGTTAAAGCTTTACATAATTCAAATGTTGACTTTAATACACAGTTCCTTTAGGTTTTGGTTTTCTCACAGAGTACTTAAGGTTTTTAAATTTCTGCTATGCTTATTCTACTCTATATTTATATTATTTATTTTATTCTATCTATTCTTGATTAATGTATATTTCCATGAAATCTGTTATTTTGATTATTTTGCATGGTTAGCAAATTCTATTTTTATTACAATTTAAAATCTTCATATTTGACATTTTATCTTTCTTTTCATTCTGGATGTGGTATACCTGTATTTTCCCTTTCTCTTTACCTCATTGACTTTACCAGAAATTTCTCAGTGAAGGTTCTGAATACTTCTTTAAAAAGTAGTTTTCATCAGGTGGTTTTTATATTTTATTTATTTATTTTTGTTTATAAGCTCTTATTTATTTGTTCATGGGAGACAGAGAGAGAGAGGAAGAAACACAGGCAGAGGGAAAAGTAGGCTCCTTGTGGGGACTCGAAAGGAACTCTATCCCAGGACCCTGTGATCACAACCTGAGCCAAATGTTTATGCTCAACCACTAAGCCACCCAGGCGCCTCTCTTCAGGTGGTTTTTAATCCAGGGTTTGTTTAACAGCCTTACTATTTGGTTATTGTTAAAGAAGTCTAGCAGAGGCATGGGGCTCAAAGTCCATGTCCCAACTTCAGAGTTGATTTAATAGCATCCTAAGTCCCTAGCAAGGCCTGGAGTAGTATAATGGCAAAGCTCTCCATTTCTCCCCTCTACTGGAGTTGCACCCAATCGGCACTAATTTGCTCCATACCTCCCCATTTTCTGTAGCACATGTGAACAGGATTATTGCAGGACACTTAATACACTGGAAGTTGCTGAGGGATGAAGATCTTATACTTGAGATCTCATGATTTCTAGACAACCCTATGCAGGGAGTGAATGTGGACAGCCATACAGGTCATGTTCAGGAGGGCTCCCTTTCCAACAGAAGGAGCACGGAGAACAGCACCTGATATAAAGAGTTGTCGTCTTGTCTCCCCACTCCCTGCCCCACATCCTTATCGGGGACTCTGTAACTTTTCCTCTATTCAGCCACTTTCTGGCTCTAGCCCACAGCAGCTTCTTTCTCCAAGCGTCTAAGACTTACAGGCCTTGCCAGTCAGACCAGTCCTCTAGTATTGTGGTAGCCAGAAAAATGTTCCACCCATCCTTCATACATTGTGATTTATTCTAATCCCTGGATACTGAGGATATCTTACTATACATAGCAGAAGGGACTCTGAAGATGTGATTAAATTGAGAACTTGAGAAGGATAGATTTTTTTGGATTATCCCAATCAACCCAGTAAAATCACAAGAGTCCTTCCAAGTGTAAGAGGGAAGGAGAAAAGGGGGTAAGAATGATGCAGTGCGAGAAGTACACAACTAGCCATTGCTGGTTTGGAAACACAGGAGAATGGAGTTACGAACCAACAGTACCTGACAAGGCAAATGGAGGAGGCCAAGGAGTGAGTACCTTGTCACAGATAATTACTTTAAAGACAGCATAAAGTTGGCAGCACATTTGTAGGCTGTTAGAATTAGATGGGAACTTCAAAATCTCTCAATCCAATAGATAAGTACGACCAATGTGGAAATCAAATGCCATATGATTTTCTCAAATTCACACCATTTGAGCTGGGGGTAGGAATCAGAATCCGGGCTCCTGATACCCAGCATTCTTTCTACAACCTGACTCTCACCCCAACCACCAATGAACCCACTGTTCAAACAAAACACTCTCTAGAATCAACCATAATTCCGGACAAGGTTAACCAACAAATAATGAGAACTACAGAAAGTTAGTGGATTTTTCTTTGAACTTTGAAGAATTTACAATTTTTATTTTAAGAATGTTACTATGGATCTGATTTTGGTTTTATTTTCTACCAATTTACTTACCTTAAGTGGCAGCACTAACATTTATTTTCCTTCAGCAAACTTGCCCAAATCTCAAATGTTGGGTCAAGAATTATAAAGGATTCCCATCTGATCATTGAGCCTCTCACTACAAGTCACATTAGCCCTGAAGCAGGCGGACATGCCTATGTCCTGCTCTGATCCAATAGCTGTGTCCAGAGGACCAGAGCTCTTACCTGACGTTGCAAGAGATAAGCCTTGTCCTGGCATCTCAGAGCTTCAATGGCACCTGGAAAAA